GTCGGCCTGACCCCAGGGAGCCCACGTTTTGGTAGAACAGACTGAACAGCCACTGTTTGTGTGCATCATTTGATTTGACCACAGTCGACCAACAGACTCTCGTTACAGCACTCTTACTTTCGTACAGATCAGCGAAAAATGGAAAATAGAAATGGTTTAGAGTGTCACTGTCTTAGTTACTGTCAGCCGATGAAGTAGTGAAACGGGATGCAGCCCAGGAACATGAATATTTCAGTTGATCAGCGCCACGGAGGCAGCAGTGGAACTGAATAGCTGCGTGTCGTGTGTCGTCAACAGTCAGCGCTCTAGTACAAGACCAAGTGGCACTTGTCAAACTTGAACTGTCAAAGACAAACTTCACTTCCTCTCATTGCTAATTTATGTTATGGTTGAACATACATTAAAACATGAGCTGATCGGAGCAATTCTAAACTTTGTGTTTGTTTGTTTTTTTATACATATTTTTCATTAATTTACCTTAGTTTACACACAATACTGTACCATTTTTAATTCACTGTTTCTAAACTCATACATTGGAGTTTTAAGGTTCAGTGTTTAATTGCTTTTATTTGTGTTAACTATGTTTCTGGGGGTTTTTAAACATATTTTATCTATGTTTTACTTCTTTATATTTGTGCTGTTAAGCAAAGTTGTGGGTCAACGTTTTTTAATCTGCAATAGTAACGCTTTTCTTATTTTTATTGAATAAAACATTAAAAATAAACTACTTTTCTTGAATTATTATTCTTTACTGAAGTTATTTCAGTATCTTAAGTTTAAAAAAAATAAACAATCAGTATCATTTGAGTGATTAAAAAATGAGTTTGTTTATAAAATATTTGTTCAGGAGCTTTAACATCACAGAACGTCATCACAATCTGACTGTGCGTTTTTATGACATGGCTCTGGTGGACAGACAGAGACGACTGATGACATAAACATAATTTAGTCTTAGATGTAAAGGGTCGACTCCCGACAGCCGATGATTTGTGGAAATTCCATAACATCCCGTTGTGTTAAGCTGGTTTCTAACCGAATAAAAATAAGACTGATACAAGGAGACTCAGTTGTGCAGTGTGAGTGTGTGCTGTCCCAGCCTGCAGCAGTTTCACATGATACAACCAACTCTCTCTACAGTCATGAGTTAGCATGTTTTCTTGGCCTACAGTAAGTTCTCAACAACAACACTTGATACAAAACAAGAATTGTACAATAACACAATGTAAAAATACAACATTTTCTATTCTTTTAAATACATAATATATATATGATATATATTATATTCTAAATATTCTAATAATCCATTTTTGTTTGGCATTTCCGCTGGTGTCACAGTGTTAAAACAGCAAATTCAGCAGAAATGACACTTGATTGTGGTCAACACACAGAGCCGACGAAGCGTACGTCCGTGTTTGAAACAGGACACCCCGCCACCAAGATGCAGGGGGTGAACAGACAAATGTGTTATGCTGCGGAGCTGACTAAAACCCAGACCGCTCCTGGATCTGTTCTCCCAGAGGAGCGCTGGATGGAGACCACAACAAGGTGTCCGCTTTCATGAAAGGGACTGATGTTACATATCAAACAAAGCAAAGAGATTGGAAATCTAATTGTCTCACACTCACTCACGCCGCCAAATATATCAGAATTTGATTCCCTCTCACTCTGCCAAAGTAAAACAAGATACAATCCAATTTTCCTCACTCTCGATCTGGCAAGTTCTCTCATGTCTCTGAGATGTCCAAATTTTTGGCAATGTTGTTTTAAATTATTCTGGTTAAACTTGATTCCTTGAATGTTAATCATCAGGCTTGTGTCTTCGTCCACTATAAAACGTAAAAGTCCAGCCACTCAAATGGCAGATTTAAAAACAACTAGTCATTTTATGAAGGAATTTTTTTTTTTTTTTTGGTCTGATGTTTTACCTGCTCAGAGCTCGAACCTTTGTCAGCATATTTTGGTGAGGAGAACACTGCAGGGCAACCCATGTCCTCAGTTACTCTGTGAACAAGCCTCAGAGATAACAGGCAGAAGAGATGAAGTGCATTAGCAGCACACCGAATCACTTCATAAACAAACAAACACAGCCAATAACATGCGTCTTTGTCTCACCCTCCTCTCCCTTCGGCGAGATAGCTATCATCACATTAACACATTTGTTAGCTAACACAGTGTGTGTGAAGGTAATTTGTTTTGCATTAATTTATCTGCATGTTTGTTTATTCTGTGTGCAGTTCATGTGGATGAACCTGCCTCTGTGGCCGTCTGTATACGCAAGATGTATTTCTCTTCGGCCACACTGGGAACATGTAGCTTCTTCCTTATTTTGTATATTATTAACAAAATATACAAAAAGTCTCAGGACAGACATGTTCTACCCCCATACAACGACAACCTAAAAACCTTTATACCTTTTTTTTTTTACATTTCTCCTTCTCCTACATTTCTGTTCATCTTCTGCTAGAGAAAAACATTGAAGCTATCTAAACAAGCTAACTGTTGTTTAGATAGACGTTTTTCTCTGTTTGTTTTCTGGGCAGTGTTACATCATTTACATGGGACTGCTGCCAACTTCTTGGTCCACAGGTACTGGTTTGTCACTGCTTATTACAACTTCATTAGCCTTTCACCCACCGTCAGGCCACGTCCCCTACTTTGGAAGCCACTGTATTGTGTTCTTTGTAACTTCAGTATCACTTTACTCTTCAACTTATTCTAACTTCAGCTTTACAGCTGGAGTCAGGAAGCAGGTAATACTGCAGCATTCAAGGGACAATCGAGCAGAAGTTCATAATAAAGTCCAGTTCACCCAAGAGGAAGAAAGTCTTCAATCACAACAGGAACAAAAGAGAAACAAAGAAAATCAAACAGACCTGGACCAACATAAACAAAGACCAACCCACAGGACTGACGACATGAATAAAGACCAGGGAGAGACTGTGTGAAGAGGAGGTATTTATACACGGACCACCAGGTGAGACTAGTCAGACTAATTAACAGGGCACCAGCTGACACAGGAGAACGTGATGAAACTAATTAAGCCCTGAGGAAAAGACGTTCATGATCTTAATCAGTTTAAACTGCAGCTGTATGCTTGGTTCAGACTTTTATTTTGTAAAGTCAAATATCAATTTGTACAAACAGTACATGTGACATGAAAGTTTTACTCACATATATTTACATATCAAAATATACTTAAATCAATTCCACTTTTAAATAAACTTTATTTGATTAACGTAGCGTTGTTTGTATAAATGTTTGTAAAAATGTGAAATAAATAAATAAATATATATTTACTTATGCTCTCTGAAATAATCTCACTTTTCGTGATTCAGGTAAAAAAAACAAAAAAAACAACAACAACCCTGATAACAAAGAGTGATACACACACCTCTGTGTAGGAATAACTGCGTGTTCCCCTTTAACTGTTGATTCTTATCACTGTCTACTGACAGTAGCCTGCGGCGCGCCGCTCCGCTCCTGTGCGAGCTCTACTTCTTGTTGAAGAGGCTGTGGTTTTGGAGCAGAAATGAGCCCAACTTTGGAATCACACAGGTCTGCCCGCAGGGTTCAACAGTTTGGGCAAACATAAAAAAGAAATGAATTGAAAACCGGTCAAACGAGACAGGTTCTGTGATATGTACGAAGTTAGAGCAGTTCAACCGTGGGGCTGCTGATGATCATGATGATGATGTTGAAAGACTGAGAAAACACTGTAATCCAGACAAATATTTAAATGGCTCTGAACGAGTGTCTCTCCAAGACTCACCTTTACCGTGAAATCGCGTGCTGTCCTACTTCTCATTGCTCACACCCTCGTGGATGACACGCCTGTGAAATTTGTTTTAGCCTGGATTAAAGCTAAAGAAGGTGTGTCAGGATTAATTGGGAATCTTGTGACCTCCAGCTCAAAATTTCAGTTGCACTTTTGCGTCATCCTCCTCCAGTCCTACCTGATGTCACGAGAAGTAACAATGAACCGACTTTACAAAAACCAATACATCATCACCTTTATCACCATATCATGAAGAACAGAGGGGCCATTTCACGGTGGTGAAAGCGACTCATTTCGATGCTTTTTTTGTATTGAACTGTATTGAAATTGTATAGAATTTTGTATTTACGTAAAGAAACACGATAAAACAGCATTCAGATTCAGAGAGCAACTAAATTATCTACCAACACCAAAGACCCCAAACTGACGGTATCAGAATTTTCAAACTTTCCGCGGGCATTTACATATATGAAACAGCCCAAGTTAAAACTAAGCATCAGGCAACTATTGTACTGTAGTTCATGTCACTGCTTTATAAACCGCCCTCCAAGCATGGTCAAGTCTCTGCTGCCCTCTTGTGAAACTAAACGGTACAACAGCATACCTCCATGTTTGGTGGCAACAAATAAAATAAGGCTTTTATCTTAATTTTTTTTAAAATTATTAAAGTATTTTACTTTACCATACAAACCCCTAACACTGAGAAAAAAGAAAGCACGGTTTACAGAGAAATATTTTTGAGTTTGATGCCGTAAGTATTAAGGTGGGAGTTTTTTTGCCCTCTGCTGGCTGAAAATCATATTGAATTAATGGTTCTGTCGCATATATTTATTAATTTATTTTTGGCAATCACGATTTTTATTTTATTATATTATTTGTTTTTACATTAAATACTCTTTTTCTGTGCAACTTTCACACATATGTCATTATTTACATTTTGTTGTTCATATACTAATTAGTAGCATTTATTTAATCCAGACAGTATTTTCATATGCACTATAAGCTCTTTGTAAATATAACAATAATTGTAACACAATTAAAAATAATAATATAAGTAAATACATTCGAATATAAAGGGTTATCATTAAGCAAATATTTTCTTTTAGATTAGATGGAATTTAAAATATGCTATTGAACGCTTTATTTCATTTATATTTGTACGGAATTGTTGCTTTCAGAAACCTCAGAATCACCCTTTTTTCATTATTTACAGGTGTGAAAAAAATTTACTTCATAAATCATTTATTGAAATATAAATCATCTGAATGTACATGATGTAACATAGTAAAAAATAGTACTGAATCGTATGGGATACAACGACAGATACTGTACCGTCAACAAAACATCACCTGCAGCACGTTCACATTGACACCACATCATACATCTAGAGCTAAAGCACGACTTTTTTTCTCTTTCCTTTTATTCCTATTGTTATTATTAATAATTCCTCTGCAGCATACAAAACAAAATGGTGGGGAGAATAAAAGTAAAAGTGCAACAACAACAACTACAGAGAACATCACAGTCAGGGGACAGAGGCAGTGGCTTAGCTCGTACAGTAACTGAAATAAACACGGAATTAATGGAAGACGTTGGATCAAATTCAATGTTTGGTTCAACCAATCACCCTCAATAACAACAACATGTTCTGGGACAGTATAGAGAGACGGAACAGTATTCACCACACTGCTAACATTTCCAATATGCACACCAGACAAATAGAAAGAGAATTGACAGGAAATCATTTGCTTTCTGAGTGATATTTCTTCAGTTGGAATGTACGTATTTGTGGGAAGCTTCAGATAGGGGTTTTATAAGCTTATTGTGCTAGTATACAAATATTTGCGTGTTATCCCAATAGTTCTCTCTTATAAAACAACTCTAAGTCTATTTACAATACAATCATTCTTCCCTTTGATTATCAAAGCCCATACAAACGACGTCCAGTCAGAGGTGGTTTTTAGACAATGCTATACTGGAATGGGCAAAGTCACCATTCTGTACAAGCAACTCCAGGTTTCTAATCCATAACCATTCCAACAGCTTTGGTCAATATCTACTTGTTATTCACATATCATACACTTTTCTTTTATAATGGAATAAAAAAATACTTTTTTTCTTAAATGCTGCAAGTATTTAACCACTGAAAACAATATATGGTCATGTACAAAAATGCACGCAATCCAGATTTTGTGCTTTCAAATCCAAACATTGCTATATGCTAGTATCTGACTGATTGTATTTACTTAAATAGTGCATCTGTAGTGGTTAAATATATATCATGCCAACAAAATGTTGTGGTGTTTCCATCTAAAATTGCCGACCAACACATCTGATTTATTCCACCTTACTTGCTGTTGAATATCCAATACAATCGAGTCCCGCAACTAAGAAGGAAACATTTTGTCTGCTTTGCAAAGAAACCATGTCCAACTCTTAGGCCAAGAGCCGTTTTCCTTTTTATTTCTTGATGTCACAATTTTGTCAACGCGTCGCCCCTCCAGCCCAGCAGAGGGCAATGTCCAGAGAGAAGTAAAGGGCATGTCCGTCACCTCAGACTCATCCAAATAGTTTTTCTGTGGATTTGTACAGTCCTCTGAAGGGATGATTCAGAAGGAGGACTCGTTTGGCTCAATGCAGAGTCAATGGAAGTACCAAGTACTTTTGCAGCTCCTCAAGTCTTTGTCTTTACAGATTTTCACTCTTTCTGCTGGTAGTTGTCACAGAAAGCTGTCCTCTGCCAGATCACTACAGTCCAGACACATCTCATCCAGCAGTGTAATGTCCTCCAAGGTCTCCCCTTCACGCTTAGCGAAGGTTGAGCTGCTGGAACCAGTCTCGATGGCACTCTCCTCCGATGTCTGAGAGCTGTAGCCAGGATTAAAAAAAGAAAACACTGGTTAGTGCTACTTGAAGTGCAGTAGAGACCATATATACAGTTGAATAATAAAACACCTGCGTCACCTGTGTCTGTTTCTTTTTCCATATTCATCATCAGATATGGGGTCCAGGTCGGGCAGAGGAATGATGTAGCCGCTGTCAGAGCTCAGACGCTGCTCATCAAACCCACTTTCCCGGTCCTTTAGCTTGCCCTGGTTCTTGTAGGAAATGCCTATGTAGGCGTCGTCGTTCTCCACACACACACGAGTTACAGCAGGGTGGTCGCTCTTCAGGAACTCGCAGTTAATCCTCTCATAATGCTGCATCAAAAAAAGCATTTCACTTAAAATTCGAACTGATAAGAGTAGCATTTCTCCTCTGTAGTACAGCAGCACATAAAGCTATGATGATCATGCTCACTAATTATTAGTGATGAGTGAGATCATATGTTGTGTAGCTGCATGGCGAATTCAAAACTTAAAATCAAACATTTCTCCCCAACCAGAGGTGTTTAAACACAGCCTAGGTCCTCCTGCGCTCCAAGAGACTATAACTGTACAGGAGGCTGAAGCTGTTTTGATCTGCCATGTGTGGAGGCAAGTTTAATAGAGTAATTAAGGTTAGGTGGAGGAGAAAAGCACTGGGGCCGTGTCATTATCCAGAGTAAGAACAGCTACTCTGACATACTGCTGCTGTATCTGCACTCTAATCACATCGAGGTTTGGTTTTACAGCATCTCTGAGAGTCTGCAGAAGGACCTCGAGGACGTGGAAATGAAGGGCGGCTGCACTGGAGTCAACACTGTACTCATTTAATGATGCGTCTAAATGTTCCACCAGCTCTGTTTTTCTGGGCAATCGATTGACGTGAGCCGAACGAGTTAGAAGAAAACATCCTGTCCGAGGTCAAAACTGACAGGCAGTAAATTACACAGCAGGTGTTAAGACCCCTGATTGGTGAGACGGGAGTGAGAGGTCATCAGTTGACTCACCTTTTTGTAGCTGGAGGGAAGCAAGGTTGCAACAGTTTCACTCAAACCCAGAAAAGATGGCCTCTTCTCTGGCTCGCTGTTCCAGCACTTCATCATCATTTCATACCTACAAAAGCATAAACAGCTGATGTTACCATGGAGACCAGGACACCATGTAATTTTAACATGACTCATGTCAGACAACGTGTGTTCATATACAGGATCAAACTGTTCTTAGTTAACACCGGTGCATTCCTGATCTGAGAGAATGCCATAATGCACTGTTGTCCCAGGGTCTGACTGAGTGAGAACGTACACGTCATGAGGAGCATGTTCAGGCTTGGACATCCGGTAGCCACTCTTGATCTTGTTGTAGAAGCTGGAATCCACCACCATTCCTGGGTACGGGGTTCCACCTGCAGACCAGGATTGATCAGGCTTTGATGAAAAACCATCAGCATTTTGTTTAGAATTCCTTCAAACAGAATTGAAATGAGGAGCTCACCCAGAGAGAAGATCTCCCAGAGGAGGATGCCATAAGACCAGACATCACTCAGAGTTGTGTAGAGATTGTCAAAGATACTCTCGGGGGCCATCCACTTCACTGGCAGGAAGGTCTGCGTGTTGACAAGAGAGAAAGTCACACTGGGGAAACACAGACTACACAATCGGTATATCAAGTTAGCATGAGCTTTGACTTACGCTTCCTTTGGAGACATAGTTGTTGTCATGCATGATGTCTCTGGCCAGTCCAAAGTCACAGATCTTGACTATTTTGCCCTGAGAGAGAAGTACATTCCTGGCTGCGAGGTCCCGGTGCACACACTGCACAAAATTAAAGAGTACGGGAAACTGATTAGTAGTTTATTGCACTGAGCGGAATTGTTCCATCCATTCCCAAAAACAACTCATGTGCCCGCAGTTACCAAATGCCTATATTTTTGCGACTATTCCATTACAGCTGGGATCATTTTTATACTCTTTTATATCGCTGTATAAAGCACCATCTTTGTGTAAACATGCTAGTTTGAGGTACGACTGGGACCACTGGATATTCAGGGATAATAACTATGAAGCTAAAGGAACAGCTTCTGGCTGCAGCATAAGCCTGTCTGGCTAATTCTAGCCTGCGCTGCTACTGCTACTATATTCAGAGCCTGTCACAGCCTTTCTCCGCTGTAGGCTCTGCAGCCGTCGCAGAGCTGCTTATCACGCAACCGCAAATGTCCTTGGTCCAGCCCCTGTGACCACCGTAGCTGTCATCACATAGGACAAGGTCCATCCATGCAGAGAGGAGGGGGGGGTGGGGGGGGGGAGGACCCAGTACGTAAACATTACTTACGTTCTTGGAGGCTAAGAACTCCATGCCTCTGGCCACTTGGTAGGTGAAGCTGAGCAGGTCCGTGGTGGTGAGGCCCTCGTTCATGTCCTCTGACAGCAGGATGTCCATTTCACCTTCTGGTTAAAAACACCATAAGGTGGTCCATATGTAAATGTATGCCTGTTATGGATTGTAAATATAGCACTGGCTACTTAAACCTGGGTTTAACTAATGGCAGGGTGAAAACTGGGCATTATTATTCCTGCGCTACAATTATCCTCTAAATGTAATGACAGGGTTGTACTAGTCCTAAATTCTGACAAGGGTGTATCCCCTCGGCAAACACTGACTCAATCACAGCACTGCGGCTAAAAGTGAACTCACTAAAAACTCTGAGAAAAGGGGAGAAGAGAAGGAGAGAGGCTGCAGTGCGTACCATTTGAGCCTTTCTGGGAGGGTGGGTGGTCGTAGTCCGATGTCTGGATGTCAGAGTATTTTGAAGCGTTGCTCATCTCCAGCATGGGCACATACTGGGTGTTGTCAGCTTGTTTCATGTCCATGTAATCTCCTTTGGTTTGCTCGAACGACAGGATCACATAACTGCTTCAAAAACCAAGAGAAACATTTGGAAAAAAATATTAATCAGGGAAAAGAGTTTTTTTAAAATTATATTATGGTAATGCATAGAGATATATTTATTAATATAATAAGTTTGGTAATACATTAATAGATATTTTATATATACATTATTATTATAGTCACATATACAGATGTACTTTAAAATATACATTAGGGTGTTGCACACAGGTGTATTTTATACTGTATATACAGTGTTATATACATTGTTATTATTGACAACTTAAACTTGTGGATTATTGACCACTGTCTGGTTAAGGGTTAATGTACATGTGACTGAGGCAAATGTGGTTGCCAGGAATAAATCTGGTTATGGTCATCCTGTGGTGTGGTCACTGTGAGTCATTCGTCATCTGTGGTCCGGTGTGTGTGTGTGTTTGTGTGTGTGGATGTGGGAATGGATGTCTGGGTGGACAGAATGAACATGTATCTGTGATACAAGGCAATTAGGCTGAAAGCTAAGACCACTTCAGACAACAATTGGATTTGATCAAGATGTCAGACAATCCCCTGAAGCACTGAGAAAATGGCTATACAGTTACTGATTAGGGGTGGGGGGATACAGGGGTCGGTGTGAGACGATGGTGCAAATTGCTTTGTCAATGACTGCTGTGGAGGAAGTGATTGGGACTGAAGGGGTCACTGTGCATATGTTACCTCCTGCTGCTCTCGTCGGCAGGGTTGATTCCAAAGATGTCCAGTTCTTTTTTGTTCTTCTCTGGGTTCAGGCTCAGGAAGTTCTCCCTGTTTTTGTGCAGGTAGTTGACCAAGTCCCCGTAGAAGCAGTACTCTGTGATGATGTAGATAGGGCCTGGGAACAACAAAACAAAGTAGCGCCTCGGCGTCAGTCTGCAGGCTAATCTTATCAGAGGCTCATAAAGTGTCTCTAAAAGCACAGTCAAGAGGGCAAGGCTTTACTTTCCTATAAAAAGGCTATTAAAACACCACACCCACCAGGAGAGGAGACCAGTCTGTCAACTGTTTTTTTTTTTGGTAGAGCTCTAAATGTCTGCTGCCAAATTTAAATGACGTACAGTGTTTTTGACAGTCTGAACGTAGGTGGTTATTGTACTGTACGTGTCTTTGTAAAGGCCACAGTGGATAAACCCAGCTGTCACTGCACAGTACTGTGTTTGCTAATGAATGCATGTGTGTATTTTTGTACCTGATTTCGTGCAAGCTCCCAGAAGGTTAACGATATTCAGGTGAGGGCCGAGATGAGTCATAATCTTCAGCTCCGACATCAGAGCTTGTTTCTCACTGGAGCGTGCTGTAGCTTGAAAAACACAGAGGAATTGTGATTATCATCAAACATTAAACCACCACCAAGCCAACTAACCACACACTCATCTGGAAACACCTTCTTTTCTATTACTTCTGTGAACCGGTTTTGAAATGAATCCTGATTTACACCATAAATAATCGTTTCATTTACATGACTACAAATTCTGTTTTTCCCCTTAACTGAACTTCTTTGAAGATGTTCATTTGAATTGTGCTTGGTCTTTATCAGCAGCTTTAAACGTTGTTGTGCCAACAACAGTTTTGCAGCAGGTGAATAATATCAGCAGGCCATAACAGATTTAGTCACACTCACCTCAATTACACATTTGGTAAAAGAAATAGAAGACTCTACCTTGCTTTTCCCCCCCATAATCAACTGCCAAAAAATCTCAACACACAGTGATTTGTGTGTTTCTTTGTCTGCTCAGTCAAAAAAGTAAGCTTTCACTTGAAAATTGATGCAAAAGTACCTAAATATTTTTAAACCTTCTTTCAGCTTACGTTTTAACATTTTGACCGCCACCTTCATGACAGGCTGGGAGCGGCTGAGTCCGTAGGCCGTGCCCTCTACCACCTTCCCAAAGGCTCCAGAGCCCAGGATACGACCTAAAAGTAAACACACAGTAGAGTCACTTATCAAACAAACAAAAACAAGGAATCTACAGAAAGAGTCACTCAAATACACATGTCTACTTTGACTTCTTCAGTGGACATAATGCCCCCTTTGATCAGTGGGTCAAACACGTCTTTGTCCAGCCAACCCCCTACTGGCCAAACCAGATTAGTTTATCACAGCTTCACTTCAAAGACAGCAAGTGAGACATTCTGACTAGAACTGCACTGCAGGGAGGCTGCAGAGCAGAGCAGAGCAGCACCAGACTCACCGAGCACAAGTCTGTCACGGGGAAATTCCCATCTGGAATCATAAGGAAGTTGCATTGGATCCACATAGATGTACTCATGACCATCTGGGCTGACCGACTCGATGACCCTCCAGCGGATTTCGTATCTTGGTTTCTGCAAAAAAGTTTCACAGTTAGTGCAAATCAGTTCACCTTGGACTTAGTAATACTACAGATCTTAGTGGCTTCCTAGCCCATGTGTGTCTGATGTCACAAAGTCATTGCTCAGTTCATTGGTGCTGTTTAGTAAATAACATTTGATTTAATGTGATGTGCATGTTCTAAAATACATGTATATATACATACAATTTGACATATAGCCTTAATATCACTTGCATTTGCTAAAAATGCCAAAAAGAAGAAATGAGTGAGTTGATGGCTGAACACAAGATAGTGAGAATTAATGGTCAGTGATGGTAACGGTACCTGTTTCCAGATAACAACCAAGACAATGAGTGAGATGATGACAATAACCAGTAGCACCAGCACAGCAGCAGCTACAGTCAGCTCTGGTTGAGGGCCTGTTCAGACAGATTACACACATTAGATGTAGGTAAAATTAAAAGGTGGAAAATGAAAAAAAAAACACAACTGTTGTACATCCTTTATATATTTATACATTATATTCATAAAGACTTTTGATTACTCAAACTACTATTACTAGAAGCATGTATGAGAAGTAATGGACGAGAGCAGGCGTTGACATGGGAGTGAGCAGGTGTGTTCTTGAGAACAGGGGCACAATGGGTAGAAGTCAGATTGGACCAAATGGCTTCACAATCTGGGGGTGAGCTGAACTGTCTGAGAGGAGTCTTCTCCTCACAGTTCCTATCAGCTGTCCCACCATTAGGTCCTCTGACAGCTGGTGCAACACTGACAGCACTAATCCAACACACTCTTCTGTTGAGTGTCACACATGGAGGACACTTAAGAGGAAAGCAAGGTGGAAACAACAACATGTAATGCCAACTTAAATAAGGGGTAAAAAAAAGAAAAGAAAAAAGGGGGAAGATGAAGGTCAGGATTCTAAAGTCATTAAACACGTGGTTTCTTACCATTTGAGACCAGTTTGATCTCCCTGCTGACAGCGGCCATTTCGTTCCTGGCCAGGCAGCGCACCGCCACGGTGTTCTCCAGATGACCAAACATGACCTGGCTCTCCAGGTTGTTGTCCTGGTCAACATGGGAGTCCACTGTGATTTTTGTTGAATTGATAGTGAGGGGCACCCACAGGGACGAGTCATTGGCACATCTAGAAAGGAGCAAAGAAAAATATCACAATATTAATATATGTTGTAGCAGTCACGTATATACATAAGAGTGTTTGTTAATCCTAAAGCGGAAATCACACCAAACGTGATAGAAGGGGAAAAAAGCTAAGCTAGTAAGATTTTTGGATCATTGTTTCATTCGCTCTATTTGCAGCTGACTTGCGAGAGGCTTGGAAAAAAAATCATCAGGATAAACTCCCCACTGATTGGATGTTGCAGCATAGAAAAGATCAGTTTTTTCAACTTTTCTAACAAGATGCTCCAATTAAATCCATTTAAATTAATTGTGTATGTAGAGCTGCCACTCAATGTAGCGTCTGTCACGTTTGGTGTGAACGCCCCTGGAGTGATTCTTACTGTTTGATGTTCTTGCAGATGAACCACTCCACCACAGGGGTGGGCTGCCCCCTAGAAATACACACCACAGACTGGCCTGTGGCTGAACCGTGGTGGATGTCCACCAGCTCCATGATGACCGCTGGTACTGTAGGACATGTCATAGACAGTGAGTGAGCTCAGCACAGCACAAGGATGGGTTTAAATGAAATAAAATCCTTAAATCTGATGGTACTCTTCTATGGTACCTTTGACCTCCAGGGTTAGGCCAGTGTCCTGACTCTGGTTTCCGTTCTCCACTCTCATCGTATAATTCCCACTGTCCTCTTCTTTGGCCCGGATCAGGGTGAGGGTACTCAAGTAGCTGCGGAGGACAATGACAGCAGATTGGAACAAACCCAGAGTCTGACGTTCCTCTGTGTCCTAATGACAGGACAAGGGTTGTGCAGGAATGTCACATCCAGGTTGTCATTAGTTGAGCCAGGATGGAAGTCTCACCTGGTCTCACTGAGCTGCCGCAGGCTGGTGGAGATCTCCGCCGTCACGTTGCTGAGAGGGATCCCACCTTTCAGCCATGTGACATGAGCAGTTGGGAAGGAAGTGATTTCTGCTCTGAACTCCCGCACCTCATCCAGCTGTGCTGATTCATATTCTTTAAACAGCGGCTTGATGGACATAAATTCACCTGCTGTTGGAAAAGAATGGAACAATTATAAGAAACAAAGAAATTCTACTATATATTTCCTTTAACTTGTTTTTTTCTGTTGGAAAATAAAAATGAGACTTTCTTACCAAAAACTCTAATAACCAGTTCCTTTGTCTGGCTCTCGTTACTGATGACATCAGTGATGGAACATGAGTAGATGCCGCTGTCTTTGGTTGTAGCCTGTGCAATTGTCAAAGTGTAGAGAATCTCGTGGTTCCTTTTGTTCTCACGGACAGTTTTGACTCCACGACTGGCCTGTAAATGAAGAAGAATCTCAGTCAACAGCTACTAAACCACAGACCTCTGCTACTTCAGAGTTGGTAGAACTAGTGTAAAAAGAACTGAAATGATGATAGAAACAATGATATCTGCTCTCACCAGTTTGCCGGGGTATTTCCAGTGGTCTTCCAGGATTTCAGAACCACGAGCCAGACAGGTGATGGTGATGGCTTCTCCCACCAGCAGAGCGGTCCTCTTGGCTGTCAGCTCAACGTGCAGCCCAGCACCACCTAAGATTTGGTTGATGACAAGGTAGAATAAGGCACAGAGTCGACCGACGAGTTCTATGACTTATATTTTGTCTTTCAGAAACATGTAAACAAACCTGTCCAGCCGTGGACAATGTATTCCTCACTGTAGTGTTCTTCTCCATTTATGAGGGCTTTACACATGTAGGTGCCCACAGTGAATATGCCCAGAGCTCCTCTCTTACTGTCGTAAACGCTAGGCACGGGCTGCTGCGTGTCAACATTGATGAGCGTCACGTTGGCACTGGGATCAGACACACGACACTGGATCTCCATTTCCTCATGGTCAGACAGGATGTGTTTGCTGAAAGGCACCAGTGATGGCACAAAGGGAACATCTGGATCTGGGATGGGGTGAAATCAGTTTGTTAGACCGCAACAACACCTTAGAAATGTGATCACAAGTATATGCGTTGCAGTACTACTTACCTGGTACATAAATGTAGATGCTGGTTTCTCCAATCTCCTCCGTGGTGTTGCTGTTGTAAAAGCAGATGTAGTGGCCAGTGTGTATTGCAGTAGCACTGTCCACAATGATGGACGAGACAAACAGGCCACTGTTGTCCTCCTGTGTTTGTTCACGCACATCTTGTGGCGTGTCCCAAGCCAGTTTGGCCTCTCCTCTGCAGCTTAGGGTGAAGGGAGTGTGTAGGGTCACGATCAACTCATCGGTCTGTGGCAGCAGCACCGGAGCAGAGGATGGTGGGAAGAAGGCTGAAGTGGAGGCTGCGGGAAAAAGGACGAGACTTAACGGGCATGTTCAATGATCTGCCTGTCTCTGTGCGTGTCCTCCTGATTGTCCTCACCTTTGACTTTGATATTAAATGAGAACTGAGCGGTGTGGGAGCCACTGTGGGCTACAACAGTGTAATTCCCATTGTCTTTCTCAAGAGGCTGCCGTAACGTTAGGGTGCTTTGATATCTGTGGCGATAAGAAAAAGAAAACATTTTTGTTATTGTAAGCTTTATGAATATAATAATAATAATAATAAAAATGAATGATGGACACTTTCATGTGGCCCAAACATTACATACAGCTGCTACTGTTTGCCAAAACTGGCCACCGTTTGACCATATGTTCCTAATAAGTAGTCTTAAAAAAAGGGTTAAGCTAAAGATCAGACATTTAGATAACGTACATCATTGATCATTGCACATTTACAAGAACACTACTTGTGTAATGTTCAGCCACATTTTCTGCAACTCTTCATCATCATCATCCCGTTTGTCTGGACCAGATGTATTTAAACCTGCACCAGTTGCAGAAACGGTCGCATCTAAGACCATTTATAAACCCCAGTCTTCAACATCTTATTTAACATTGACATCTGAACCATATACCTGACTTTTACACCTTTGCTGAGGAGATTCATTATTTCTACTAATTCACTGCTGTCTCTTAAAAATGTAATTCATTAAACAAACAAGAAAACCCCCGTCTCACCGATTCCCCTGAAATGGAACAGTCTGGGTGTCGATGAAGTAGTTGGCTGGTAGTTCTTTGCCATCCTTCAGCCACATCACCTTGGGAGGAGGGGAGGCATCGATGAAAACAGTGAATTCAGTCTCCTGTAGAAGGCTGACATACTCCACTTCAAAAATCCCACTGTGGTGCAGTGACACAAAGGAATTCTCCTCTAAAGGATCAAAACAAGAACCGAATGAGTTAGTGACCATGTAAGAAATGCACTGGAAGCACAAAGGACATTGGCCAAAGTGTAAAAACAGAAAAACACAGAAACACCCCCCCTCACCACACACACACACACACACACACACACACACACACACACCCATCTGCTGAAACCATCCCATAAAACATAGTAGCTGATGTTGAAAGCAGAGGTGAAGCTTTACAGTCAGATGGGGGAAGATGACTTCCACACACCACTGAAAGCAGCCTGTGCCCATATGTGAAACTCTGACTATATTACCTGAATAATATGAAAATATTCAAACAACATCAACTCCAAATTGTAACAGTTTTTTTGTTGCTGAAATCAAGATAAAAATGTTAAAAATTAGGATTTCTCTTCACAACTCACCAAAGACATTGATGGCGACACTGTTGACTCTGACCTCGCCATTTACTGTGTTAGTAACCGAGCACTCGTAGACGCCACTGTCCTGAGAAGAGGCCTGCGAGACGCTGAGAGTATAGACGACGTGGTCGGGGAGAGTCTGTTTTACCTGGTCCGTATACATAGCCTGTAAATAGCATAGAAGATTATTGACATCCAACCAAAAAGAGTTAGGAATTGGATATTTCAGCTGTTTAAATCTCTGTCTGTTCTTGTCTACCACTGTGTTGTAAATGTTTCAGAGTGAGCGTCCTTGCTGCTGAAGGCAAATGGTTAAAACACTGGTGAGGACACGGCAGATAAATCAGGTTCACAGAGCCTTTTAAAAGTCAGCAGTTGCAGCTAAGACCGAAAACAGAAGTCAAAAGTCCTGCTTTCCTGAACCTTCTGTCTCTGGAAAAGGGTTTAGAGTGGTTTCCTGCACAAAGACAGTCAACGTTCTCTGTATAGCTTATGGATAAAAAAAAAAAATGAACCAAAAAATTAAATTGTGCATAAAACTCTTTCATGACTTTGTAGTGTACTTTTCAACGGCAGGATAGTTCAGTTGGCTGTCATGTGTTGAAAACATCTGTCCTGAATATCTCAAGGTCAACAAGGTTAAAGAATTTAGTGCTCTCCTGTCGGCCCTCTGCTTTTGAAATGCCTCCTTCCCTCAAGCCATTTGTTCAGATGTTACTTCCACATCAGTGGCTCTCACATGGGGTTAACTGCAGCAGTAGCTGTTTGGCTGACTGTCCTCGTAATGAAGACACAACATTCAGTTACTGCTTTTCTAACACATACTTTGTAACCACTGAGGGCCATTCTCAGAGCTATATTCCACTTGCTCTCGCCTGGTTTCTCCCCAAAACCATTATTCGCTAATTTAAGGCTCGGAGCTGCAGGGAAGGAAATGACATGGAAACATGACAAGGGGCTTGGAGGAAATAGTGCAAGACTGAATGGCTGGATGAAGTGGCGGTTGAGACTAAATTGAGATATTATTCTTTTTTTCTTTTAAAGAAGGCAGAAGGGAAAAGGACCAAACTCTTGCCTGTTTTTTAGGATGGAGCCACTGCTGCTGAAAGGTTGGCCCAGTGGGAGCCATGCAGATGATGAAGAACGGTTGCCCGACTCTCACATTTTCGTCGCTGGCTTTTACTTCCACACTAAAATCCTCCATCTCTTCTGGAGCTGCGTAGAAAAACAAAAGATCCGATATCAACGCCATCACCACACAGCTCCAGTGAGAGTGACGACTTCATTAGAGTGAGATCATTCATTATGGTGGCTCAGTTGTTCGCTATTACTCATTCACACACACACACACATGCACACGTAGAGCAAAAGTAGGCATGTTAAGTCATTTCCCTGTGTGATAGTGATGTAATGCCCTGGCTATTGTGCAGTGAGATCACCCTGCAGCCTTGTCATGGTACACAGAGTGTTTCCAGCTGTGCATATAGTTCAATACTTCTTCTTACTAAAACATTACTTCTACTATACATACAGTATATATATGTATAAATGTTTGAACGTATCACGATTGTTTGAACTAACCTTCGGCATTCACCGTATAAATGGCACTTCTGGCAACCTGGTTGTTTACACTGGTCTCACACTGGTACTGTCCAGGTGAAAGGGTCCCGAAAAAGCCCATCCTGCTGTCGTAGTAAGCGTGCATCTCCTCCTCACTGGGGACGCTCCTCAGGATGACATCAAGGTAAGGGTCAGAGACACGGCAGGAGATGGGGACACCAGATAGGTCCATGGGGACCACCAAGTTCTCAGGGGTCTCGGGAACAAATGGGGCTGTGGGATCTGCAGGAGAGAAGTCGGGGAGAGAGATTAAATCATACCATGTAAAGTAACTTTTGAATGATAGAAACTCGTATTATACTAGGTCAAACTATTATTACACCACCCATTAGAGACCAGTGTCTAATATCTGGTGCCAGTTTGTGCTCTTTGTTCAACTCCATGACAAAGTGAATTATAAAGTAAAATCATATTTACCTGGGACAAAGACGTATATTCCTGCCTCGTTGTCCTCTTCCGGCTCACTCTCCAGTTGTCCCTCTTGTGTTTCATACACACACATGTAGTAGCCAGTGTTTTCTACTGTGGCATTGTCGATGAAGAGTGTTGCTGTGTAGTATCCTGGATAAACAAAAGTGTTTTCTGGTAGAGGTTCAGCCCAAACCACCCTTCTTTTACTTTTCCCTGAGCAGCTTATGTTGAACATAGAGTTGAGCTTCAGGATGAATTCCTCCTCAGTGGCCTCAATTGTTGGTGGTGACAGTTCGCAAGAAACTGGGAGAAAGAGAGAGACAATGAGAAATGTGTTAAAAAAAAAAAACTAAAATAATTACCATGTATTTTTTTTCCTTACCTGAAACCAGCAGCATCATTATGCCCCCAAAGATGACAAACATCTTCACCCCATCCATGATTATGGATGTTTACGCCTATAAAAACAGAAAATTCAACTTATTTAGTCAATAAGCAACTAAACGTGTTTCATTCTCCTTTCTTGATTTATTCACACTATAAATAATGTTATACTTGTGATTTAATGTACACACAAAAACCCAGCTTCACTGTCAAGGCTAATTCAGTGTATAAGATAATTATCCCATAAAGATTTCCATTAAGTGGAAGTCTGGAGAATTTAACATGAACTCTAACGGCCTGTGGTCTCCCACATCATTTCAGTGGTGAAACAGCGCCGCTCTAAAACCCGTTGTAGGATTACATCAATTGTTTTTTAATAGAACTGGGGTTACAACAACATAACTGATGATTCCCCTGCGTTTTAAGCACTCCAAGTGCTTTTTGTCAGAATGGACAGGACAGGCTCCTTTTCCCCTGCGCGGCTGCACTGTTGGCGGGCCTGAGTACAATCGATAGAGGGCGACAGAGTCCGCCTTTTGGGGGGCATCAAATCTCCCCGGTTTTCATCGTCTCCAAAGTACTAACTCGATTTCTGTGGATATCGGCCTCATATAATGTGTACCCCTGAGTATGTATATTTTTGTTCGATTAATCATTTATAAAGTTCCAGACCGATTCAATCTAAAGTCTGAGATGTGCCATCTCAGTAAAAATATCATAAATCACCTCCACTACAAACATGACTGGAGAGAGAGATACTCTCCATCTGGAGAGAGAGTAAATACAGCTTTTAATTCTGAGATCCAATGTCAGTCACGGACTGTTTCTCCTTCTTCTCCCCCAAAACAACACAGTCCTGCAAATCTTCAGTGGCTGTCACTTTAGAAACGACAAAACTGTCCGTGGGCAACCTGGTTCTGCAAACACTGTCATTAGTGGGCCCGCACGATAGAAAAGAATCTATTTGCATGGGAATCCGCTGACAAAATGCACAATCATTTTCGACGTGTCTGTGCACAGACTGAAACAATTTCCAAATTTTTTAGCCTTGGCTTGGCGAGGATTCTGCAGCCACCGAGCGTAAATCTGACTGAGCCCTGTGGTGGTGGCAGTCGAGACACTTTGAATGTCCTCCTCTGCTTTATTCCGCCGCTCTCCTGCCAAGAGACACAGCAAATGTGTCGGACAGCAAATGCATCGCTCTGCTGGGTAATAGATACATCTGAGTAACAGCTGAGGACACTGATCTGGACAC